CGAGCTCTCTAAGGAGAGACTGGAGATCATCGGGTTCGACATCAGCTGCACGAGTACTGCTCTGCTCCTCTTTTCTGCAGAGCTTCTATCCGTTGTACAAAGAAACATCCAACTGTCACTAAACTAGTGGATTTGTTCTGTTCAATCCTGTGCATAAAATGCTTTGAGATAACGTACTGAACAGTAAGTCGATAAACGAGCTCACTAAAAATGTAAAACGTGACTCCTGCATTAGTGTTCCGTGGCCGAAGTGCCGGCTGTGATCGGATGGCTCTGCTGGCATCAACAGCAAGTTCACTTCAATCGCTTGCCGTCCAGTACCCAGGGCAGGCCTGCCTCTCCTTCGCATCTGGCAGCGGTATGAACAGAGGAAAAAGGGCTCGTCATAACCTCCTGAAAACGGAGGCCTTCCGTTACAGAAACGTCTCACGAGTCAGGCAGCTCACGCATGTCCATCCGTTCCCAGCAGTAAGCAAATTATCATAGCGTACCGATAAATTCTTACAAAGCGAGAGATTATAAATTATTTTTCTACATACCGCTACACAGAAAGCGCTCGTGTTTGGAAGGCATTTGAAAATATACACATTTAGTCTGAACGGGGAAAAAATGGAAACTCTACGAACTAGAACAGTTTCCATTATTTGGAGCTAACTGGGGAAAACCCAACCCGCTAACAACCCTTACTGTGCGTGTTGGGGTTCTTTTTGGGCTGTGAGTACTGAGCCTGAACTTTCTGTATCAAAGATCACCAGAAGGGAGCCACGTTCCCCTTGCACACCTACACAGACACACCGTTCAAACGTTGCTCGCCCTGCAGCAGCTGCCCCAGGTAAGCTCCTACCCAGCAAACCCTGGCTGATGCAATTCCACCGTCACTCAAACTGAGAACTGACCAAACACTCCCCGTCCCGCGGGAACCACAATGCCCCTTCCAAAAATTCCTAAATCCTTCTCCCACGCAGAACCGCCACACACACACGATGCCATCAGCCTGGGCAGCCAGTAAACGAGGCCAGGAGCTCCGACCTGCCCGGGGAGAGATTTTCATGAAGCAACATTCCCTCTGTGCTCAGGGAATTGGGGCGGGCTGTAAAATGGTGGAAAAGGCCACAGACGTGGACAATGCCCCTTCCAAAAATTCCTAAATCCTTCTCCCACGCAGAACCGCCACACACACACGATGCCATCAGCCTGGGCAGCCAGTAAACGAGGCCAGGAGCTCCGACCTGCCCGGGGAGAGATTTTCATGAAGCAACATTCCCTCTGTGCTCAGGGAATTGGGGCGGGCTGTAAAATGGTGGAAAAGGCCACAGACGTGGCCTCTGCCGGGGCTCTGTGCGCCCGCCGGGAACCTGCTGAGAAACAGCCACACCACTGCTGACGCTCCGCTC